CAAGCTGCATTCCAAGAGCTCCCTTGGAATTGGTTGGACAATCACTGTACTCTAGAAGAGATAATCGGGCTTTAGTTGCAGACTAATAGATAAAGTGTGAAGTTTGTACTTGATACTTGCAGGAGATCTATGTTTAACAGAGTTGCATCTCAACACAATTTCCAAAAATCAAAATCGGGTTAATCCATTGGCGCCCCTTGCTCAACCAACTTAATTACGCCCACCAGTAGAGGTACTACATTCTAGGTGGAACGCCCACCTCAAGCACTCTCACACTCCTGCTTGACAGGATTGTGGGAGGTGTAAACCATATACATGACTAACCAGTAATTTTGAGAGAATTTATTATCGTTCTCAATAATTCCTTTGGGTATTAAAAAAATAGGCAACTACATTATATTTAAATGTCCAAAAATGAAGAACTAAATCCAGATTAAGTTAATAAAATTAAACCAAAGAATAAAAAACATTTGTGATTTGTCCATATCCAAATATTTGTCACTTTCTTTTAACTGGACATAGCCTGCATATCTAGGCTAGTATCTCAAGCAACTTGAAATTCAACCTTTTCCACGTAAGCTATATACAGCGGACCCCTTTAAACTTGTGAATTCTTTCTTATTACTCTCCTTGTCAAAATTGAATTACTGTTTTAAGGATTATATTCCTTCATTCCTTCTATCTCATAAAAAAGAATTCAAAACTAATCTTTCATACGACTCGAAAAAGGGCTGCATTTATTTTCCATTCTTTGAAATAATTTTATTTTATTTTAAAATAAGGAACCGTTTGGTATTCGAAACCGACGGAATTGAAATTCTATGGAATTGTATTCTCGAATTTCAATTCATTTTTTGTACCACTAATTATAAATTCGCATATTCTTGTGCTAACAAATAGCAGAATTGGAATCAAAGTGTTTAATTCTAATTTCATGGCTTAAATTTCGTGTACCAAACGAAACTCACGCAATTTCATTTTTCCTAATTTTTGTGCTAATTCAAAAGTAAAATCTATTAATTTTATAGGCTCGAGTGAGTAATTTTTTGAACCGATGCCGTTGTAGAAACAAAATACGTACATTTCCATAAATAATATCAAAGTTATTAAATGTACTTTTTAGTGTCATTGACTCGATAAAAATATACTATTTGTTCATATATGGTTGCTGTCTCAATCTAATGATGCATGAAGAGCTAAACTTCCATATATAATAAATCTTGAGAAGTGAGGTTTCTTCTACTCAAGCCTGGAGATAAGTTCAATTATATGTACATTATTGAATGGAGATCATACTTTATTGTTGATATAAGTTAAAAATTTAAATTTTCATTGTAATTAATCTCTTTTGCCACATTTTACGGTAAAAATCAAAGATTCACTAATGAATCAATAAAGAAATATTAAGGCGGGAGGGAGTTCCAAATACCACAACAAGATTTACCTAGCTGAGCAAAAATATGAACAACTTCATTAGCACTATGATGGTAAGTGGGATTCCATTAACACTGGAATATTTTCAAAACGCTTCTGGTGCTCCGTTTACAAAATTGATCAAACCTATCTCCCTAACCAACCTCCCAAATCTCCCAGCCCAGCCCCACCTCTATCCCCCAACCCATTCCCACCATAAGTGTCCTTCCAAATGTGTGGCTATTCACACATTTGGAGGGGCAGCTTAGGGTGGGGATGGGTGGGGGCTGGACTGGGAGGTTCAGGAGGTGAATTCTGTCAATTTTGTGAAAAGAATACTAGAGATGCTCCATAAATACAGTGGGACCGCTAGTAACACTGTTGACCAGTGTCAAGTAGAATACTCCCTCCGTCTGGGAATGATCTTCTCATTTGACTTTTCATGGTCAAAGTTTGTAAACTTTGACTACGATATGTGGAAAAAATACATTGTATTATGATATAAATTTAATATCAATATGTTTATATTGAAACGTAGTTTTGAAATATCAAATTATTATAAAATATATTTATGTACAAATATAGATATTAATGGTCAAAGTGCAACATTGAAGACAGTAAAAAGTCAAACGGGAAAAATATTTCCGGACGGAGTGAGTAGTTAACCCTATAAAATTCAAGCAAAAGTGAGTCATGAGTCATCGTACAAAAGTTGGTGATGCTGCGGTATGACTATGAGCGTAGAGTAAGGGAGTGTTTGCTAGTGAAATGAAATAAAGGGAATTAAAATTAAATTCGGGGTAAAAATAAATAAAATGAATAAATTAAAGCATATTTCCTTGTAGGAATAATTAACCTGATTCGGACTAATTAATACACGAAAAAAAATGAGCAACAAAAGGATCTTGTGAAAGATTCCGGGCAGGTGCTTACATTGGTGATGATGCAGTGGGTTTATTTTATTAAATAATAAATTGATTAATTAATTATTAATTAATTAATTAGAAAAAAGAATGAGGAAAAAAGAAAATTGCCAGCGAAAGTCACGAATAAAAACAGGCATGAAAGCATAGAGGATGCACGTTAAAGGCATGCTCCACCTCCCTCACTCAATGTCTTCTTAATTAATCTTAAAGAAAAGTATACGTACTTCTCTATACTACCCACCCTCATTCAATAAAATAAATATTTTACATTGTAATATATTCAATAATAAAAAAATATCGTATTTTGGATAAAATTTTAATGATTTAAATTAGCATTAAAAATTCTAACATTAAAAGTTATTGTTAGATAGCTTTTTTAAAACGATAACACTAATATGTGACGTTGTTGGGAAATGGGTCCTTTGTACATATGTATTACCCTAGACGCCTAGAGTAGAATTTCCTTTGTCATATGCTCCTATAGCTAGCCCTATGTTACCATTTAAAGGATTAAACTACTTTTCCTTTATATTGATAATAATTTGATCAATTACACATTTACACAATGATGACATGCCTCATTATATACTCCTTCTGTCTCAATTTATATTACCCGTTTCAGTTTATGATATTTGACTGAAATTATTTTTAAATCATTTTATATGACAAATAATGTAGAATTAAATAATAAAAATTACTCCCTCCGTCCTATAATGATCTTCCCAGAGCACTATTCCAACTTCACGGGAATTTATATTTATTTATGTTTTTTCATGGCCTATATGATAAAATAAAATATTCTTGTCACCACTTGTTTTGTTGAACTTTTGGTGTAGTTTTTAAATATGTATGTTTTATTTTTTATTTCTATACCAATATTTAAATAAAATAGATTGAAAAAACTTGGGATTTTTCTTCGTTTTGCGAACCGGGAAGATCATTATAGGACGGAGGGAGTATATATTTAAATATAATNAGTTTATGATATTTGACTGAAATTATTTTTAAATCATTTTATATGACAAATAATGTAGAATTAAATAATAAAAATTACTCCCTCCGTCCTATAATGATCTTCCCAGAGCACTATTCCAACTTCACGGGAATTTATATTTATTTATGTTTTTTCATGGCCTATATGATAAAATAAAATATTCTTGTCACCACTTGTTTTGTTGAACTTTTGGTGTAGTTTTTAAATATGTATGTTTTATTTTTTATTTCTATACCAATATTTAAATAAAATAGATTGAAAAAACTTGGGATTTTTCTTCGTTTTGCGAACCGGGAAGATCATTATAGGACGGAGGGAGTATATATTTAAATATAATATCATAAAATCTACAAAACTAGTAGTGACATGGCTATTTTATTTTATCAAATTTCCAATGAAATTAGGGAAAGAAAGTGAATGAAGTTTGACCATGTGAATAGTGAACAAGCAATTTAATTCGGGACAGAGAGAGTAGAATATATATAACGTTTATTTTTAAAATTTGCATACTAATTTACAATAAATTTAATCAAATATCTTGAACCTTAATTAAACCGGCTTTCTAAAATAAGACCAATAATGTCAATAATTCTAACATATAGTTCAAAAAAACTACTCCCTCCGTCCCAATTTAAATCGTCTGTTTCGATTTATGATGTTTGATTGAAGTTATTTTCAAACCATTTTATATAAAAAATGGTGGAGAATTAAAAAAAATAAGAATAACATATTTAAAAACTACATCAAGAGATCTACAAAAATAGTAGTGACATGACTATATTGTTTTATCAAATAACTAACGAAAATAGGAAAAGAAAGTAAATGAAGTTTGACCATGTGAACAGTAAGCATTCAATTTAATTTGGGACAGAGGGAGTATAAAATAACTTTTTCAGTCCTAGTATATTCCATGACCAACCATGCAATAATAATAATTTTTTTGAAGAGTAATAACTCTATGACAAATAGTATCCATCTATACATTTTCAATCTATTGAAGCTCATAGAATTATTGCAATATTAATAGTTTGTTTATTTGCACACAATTGCACCAAATCCTAATTACACAACTTGTTCCCAAACACACAGTTTAAGCCATGTTCTTTTCACGTGATCTGAATAGTTCTGATCTGATTTAATTAAGTTTTGATTTGATCTAATCTAAATGTAGTTATAATTAAAGTTGTTTCTCATCTTATCTGATTTCAATAAAAATAAGTAATAAGTATAAAAAAAAAGTTGAGTACATGATCTTAAATTTATATTTTATGTGGATAGTTTTAAATTTTAACATGATCACTATGGTGCTTTCACTTGATGATAGACTATCATGCATGTTGCCCTCTAGTCCACCTGAGATAAAACACACTTATCTCTAGTGTATTGTGATTTTACCAAAGCAAAGAAGCTCAAGCAACTTCATTGGCTTTCAGCTTCAATCAGCACAGTTTTTATGGAACTACACAACTTGCAGTAATCTATAAAATAAAAGCAAAAATAAACATATTTTTTTTTCAAAACTCAATCAAATCCAGAACACTGATCTCATTTAAGTCACATACCAGCAAAGAATTGATCCTTTAATGAGACCCAAAGAATTCAAGAGAACGTAACATAAGTGAACATAAATCCACATCTAGATACATAATCATAACATAAAGGCTAGTTAAGGAGAATAGCAATGAAAGTACTCTCCCAAATTGCTATATAAAACGACGACGAAAAAACAGACCATTTCGACTTCGGATCAATTTTTTCTACCATTTCTTTTCCTTGAAGATACAACAGTCCACCCATCTTCAGTTGTGATGTCTGCACTTGGTTCATCGATCATCATCTCTCTTTGGTCCATACATGTTTGTTGTTCGAAAGAATCTACTGCCATGCCCGAAGACTCGTTCCCCAACAAATCACTCTCACCATCAACAACACTATCGCTATCACTATCATCTTCTTCGCCTCTAACCTCCTGTCTTCTATAAGAAACAGAGGAATTCACAGGATTTGTCGCCTTCAGATCATTAATTGAATTGAAGTTACCTTCCGCGCATTCCCCGTGCATAATCATCAACTTCTCTGCCACCTCCTCAATACTTCCATCGTCGAGCTCGGCACTGAAATCGGAAATCATGAAATCGTCGAGAAAATCCTCCAAATCATCAGCGTATAGCGTTACTTTAGACTGGGCAAACAAGGAGAAGATGCGCACAGCGAGATCCTCGGACTTCTTACGAGACGTGGGGCCGCCCCACTCCTCTGCGACGGCCATCTGCAGAGAAGTCCATCTAGAGAGCACCAGGATAATGCCTTCTTGGAACTGCGCTGCCGCCACCGCTGTCAGCTGCGGCGGAGGATGGTTCTCAAAATCCATTTCTGCAAAGGATGTAAACCCAAACCCTAATTAGATCTTCCCGTATAGCGCAATTGCTCCCAATGCTAAAGACTTGACAGACCAAAACAGAGGTACCAAAGTACTCTGTAATAGGGATGAGCATGGTATGGGACGGGATTTAGCCGGTACCGATACCAACCAAGTTAAGTCACAATGCAGAAAGAGAGCAGGCAGAAAGTAGGCATCAATCAGCTTAAGAGACCCAAACAGCATGCTGGGAAAAGAAAGAAGCTAAGGCAACAAGATTCCAAGGGATGAGAACCTTGTTAAAAAACAACACATAACAAGCCATATGAAAATAGATTATCCTTGAGTTTCTTTCTTGATGCTCATGTTTACAGATTACTTATCAAATTATATGTCCATGATGTCTCAATTACACTAACAATCGCGAGACTATGTCAACATAAAACACCAAGAGAACTACAGTTTTGGACTGATATAATGTTCAACTCAAACACAACAGAGGAGAATATCATGTACTCCGGAGTAATAATCTATTCAAAAAGAGCAAATGATGTGTTTGAATGGTTGATGCTAATGGAGTTATAGTTTCTGAAATGCTGTCAGTATACTCACCTAAACAATTAGAAAATAAAACATAATCCATAGTCCATAGTGAGTAGTCAAATTAAATATTGTAAACTTCAAATTCTCTCAAAATATACTCTGTATAACATAAAAGTCTACACAACACTAAAGAAACACTTGTTTACTCTCTACTCTCTAATATTTAGCCTAAATGCTAGAATACTTCAAATCAAAGTATTGTATGAATCATAATCAAAATGTATTGAAACATGCACTAAGTGTTTGTTATCCAATAAAATGAAATCTTTCCTTTCATAAAAAACCAATAGTTTATCGTTTGTGATGTACTGTACATACTTTCAGCAATTTTAACTAGTTTCAACATATACTCAGGCCATTGTCTCTCTAATTCAATTTATTTAGCCAAAATCCTTCAACTTTTTAATTAAGCAGTAGTGTTTGCAACAAATTCAATAAAAATAAACAAAATATACAAATTGAATTTGTTAGTTTGTTTTTTTATGTTGAAGGAGTAATGATTGAAGCTGAGAAGATGAAATACCTAGATGAAATTGATGAATGCCTGAATGGATGAGTGGTCGATGCCACGGATTGGCAGCAATGTGACAGTGTGGTGGAAGAGAAAATTACTTCTTTGATGGAGAGCAGAGCAAAAGGGAGTCGTGAAACACCAATGAATTCTTTGATGGAAAAGATTAGAGAAGAGAGAGAGAAAGGGATATTGATACCATATGGATGATAACCCTAATCGAAAGACTCCGGTGTACTAGTAATAGTTTGGTAGGGAAAATTCAGTACGGGTATTGGACTATTTCCATTCCCAAATACAATTCCAAAAAATTGGTTTGGTACGGTTTGGTCTTTTTTGATATTTGTCGGTTTGGTAATATAGGTACGGATTTTTTGGGGTTTTTTATTTTATTTTTCAGTGTTGGTATGGTACCTCCTCACCCCTACTCCGTAATAAATAAGAATAGAATCAGGTTGGGTCGGTTATGGCCTGGCCCACCTTGGACCTCCTGGACCTGCTAACCATATGGTCGGTCGGTCAGTCTCTTTATTATCCCACAAAGTGAACTAGCGGTTACTAGTGGCGTACAACACATTTACATATTCACTCGATGAGTACACGCACATGTCCGACCGCAAGGTATGCGAATGCTTGTACGAGTTTTGCAAATGGGTTATCAAGTTATACAGCAAAGAATATATGCGAACACCAACAAAGAAAGACATAGGAATTATACACCGCCCACCAACCACGCCACGAACTTACCGGCATACTAGGGAATATTGAGTGCATGCGCTGGACGTGGCATAATTGCTCCTATGCATGGCGAGGACAATATACGTGTGGTTATCACGATCACCCCACAATAGAACTTAAAGTTGTTGGCTCACATGATTTTTGGATTTGGCATGATTTCTTTGGTGTGGCTAATCCCAATAACGATTTGAACGTTCTAGGTCAGTCAGATATTTTCAACGACATTGTTCAGAGTTTCAGCCCCGACACATCATTTACTATTTCTGGGTGGATTACAAGCACAAGTAACATCTTGACGATGAAATCTATTAAAGTTACGCGGTTATAGCTAAAACTATACCATTCTGTGATGATGCGAAGAGAAAGAAGTTCGCTAAATACCAAAAATCGGAAAGAAAAGATGTTGAACAAATCCTTGGTGTGCTTAAGCAGTGATGGCACATTGTGCAAAACTCGGCTTGAGCATTCTCAGCCAAAAAACTTACGACATGTTATGTACGCTTGTTGCATACTGCATAACATGATTCTCGAAGACGAAGGGCACGAGATATGTGAATACAATCCAGACGACGTGAGTGAGAACGTCAAAGTAGTTGATGCAACACAAGATCTCAACAGGTTTACGTAACACAACACGCATACGCACCAAAAACTCTGTGCCTATTTGGTTGAGCATTTGTAGAAGTACACACCACCACTTCAAGTTGAGGAATAATATTTTGTATTGTATCTCTTTTATTGCTAACTTTTTTCCTTCGCATTTTTTAGTACTTCTGTTTACGTCTTTCTCGGCTAGCTAAAGCATGTGAGAGGACGGCCCGGGATCTAGACCATGTGAGATGCGTGAAGGGTAGCAATGGAAGAGTGCGGAAGAGTGCAGTTTGAAACTACAGAGGTGTCAAATGGATGGGGGGAGCACTTTCGTGGCCTTTTAAATGCGGGTGGAGACCAGAGGCTAGGAATTTGGAAACAGCAAGTCCCCCAAAAAAGTAGACCAAAACAACCTCATAATCAAATAAAATTATCCAACCCTCCAAAACAACACCATGTGACCTCACATGTTCTTCATCTCTTAGTTTTGAGTATTACTGAAACCACATCCTTTCCGTCTAACGAAATAATAGTGGTAGAGATATTATAAACTGTAAGTTACCGCAATATATACTGTACAACCAGTTGTACGGTGTTTCCCGTACATCCGCAGCGAGTACTCATTTACGAGTAACTGAATACTCATTCTCAAGCAAATAAATACTCATTTTTGAGTAACTGTATACTCAGTTTTATAAAATTCAAATTTGCTCGAAAATGAGTATTTAGTAACTCGAAAATGAATATTCAGTTACTCAAAAATGAGTATACGTACATCCGGATGTATGGTATAGGTACTCATAAGTTACGGGTAGTTATTTTCATAGATTTGGTGCAGTAAAAATAACAGTGGGCATCACTCTCAACAAAGTGGGGTTTAATTTGGCTTAGCTTCATTTTCATATACGCATATCACAGCAGACAATAGTTATAGTGGAATTACATCAAGAATCAAAGAACCTGTAAGGGCTATAAACACAGTGAGCCAGGCCGCAGCCTATATAGATTTAGGTAAATGGATGGATCAAAAAGTTAGCTAAGCTTGCTACAATCGGAAGGTTCAGAAATCAGAACTGAAAATAAAATTAAAAGAAACGGATACTTTAGAAGGAAATTAAGTAAATATGAGTTCAGACCTGCGGAATTGGTTTTGAGGATCGACGGACGACGGGGAGGGAATGGAGATCGAAGGAGGCGATTCTACTCTGGGAATCCTATGAGCTGCGGAAGCCTGGCTGACGATCGATTACGCCCGCGAACTGGCGAAGGCAAGAAGCAGAAGCGATTTCAAATGAAAACAAAAATTAGGGGTGAATAAGATAGGGTTAGTTTGGAAAGATCTTACCCATCAATTTTAATCGTAGGGGTGGACACGGTACCGTCACCGGACCGGCCGGTACCGGTTCCGGTTCCCGAACCGGCGGTTCCGGTACCGGACCGGCCGGTTTCGCCTCCCCTTTTTTTTTTGCTTTTTTTTTGCAAATTGCAGGCCACCTGTTCCACAATTCACACTTCCACTTCCTCCAGTTGAAGAATGACGACTAGTCCCCCTCCCTTTAATGTTAACCTGATGCAAGCTGGACTGATGCAAGCCGGCAGGGAAAAAAACTAGTCCCCCTCCCGTTGAAGAATGAACACTTCCACAGTTCCACTCTTTTTTGCAGGTGGTAGGCCGGACTGACGCAAGCGGCAAGCCTGCAGGGAAACCGGAAAAGAAAAAAAATACACGGTACGGTACCGGAACCGGTACCGGTACCGCCGGTTCCGGGACGGAAATATTGGCACCGGAACCGGTACCGAGTGGGGCAGTGCCGGTGCCGGTTCTTGGTACCGGGTGACGAAACGGACGACGAGGACGGTTGCAGGTACCGCCGGTACCGGCGCCGGTAACGGTACCGAAACTTTTTATAATATTCAAATTGTTCGAATTCCAAACGAACCGGATTTCCTGGTCTTCGTATTCGGATTCGAATTTAAAATTAAATTCAAATTTGATTTAACAAATACAAATCAAAAATCAAATTAAGTAAATTTTATTTGATTTGTATACACCTCTAATTAGGAATTATGATTAGAGTAATTGGATAGATGTCTTAGACTAAGGTCTAAGGATAATTTTTTTGTAGTTGTTGTGTTTTGTATGCCTTCTATCCTTGTTGCTATTGGAATACGCTACTCTTACTTCGTTACCCTAAGTTTCTTACTTACCTCGGTGTGCTTCGTGTTTTATTTATGCTTTATCAGTGCTTTCTCTATTTTATACTTCCTTCATCCCAAATTATAATGCATGTCCACTATTCAGAGAGTCAAACTTCATTCATTTTCTTTCTCTATTTTCGTTAGCAATTTGATAAAATAAAGTTCTATTGTCACTACTAGTTTTTTAGATCTTTTGATGTAGTATTTTAATATGTATTTTTTATCTTTTAACTCTATATCATTTTTCATATAAAATGATTTAAAAATAATTTCAGTCAAACATCATAAACCGAAACGAACACTATAATTTGGGACAGGGGAAGTATATCTCTTGTGATTTTTTTATATATGCAGTTTGAGCCGAAAGTCTCTTGATAACATCTTCTTGGACAAGATCCGAGTTGGCAAAAGGGGATGGAATGAATGGTGTGATCCACACCTTATGATCTAACAATTTCATCTAGCTATTTAAGAGGGCTATAAAGGATTTGAGGTGCAGTGTTACTGTGCAAGGTATTTTGTTTGTTCATTCAGATCAGAAGGGTATGCATTAAAGTTTCATTTAACTTTACAACTACCACTTCTGGTAAAGCAAACTTGGCAAAGCTGTCTCACAAGTCAAAAGGTGCAAAAAGAGGGAGTGGAGTAATGCCATCTTGCCCTTTCTTCATCAATGTTACTTGTCATCTTGTGCATTGCATTAATCCAGACACAATGTATGTCAAAATTCCAAATGTAATAATTAAGCTATCAAAATTCCCACTGTAATACTCATCATATGTAAACCATACATCTAACAGCCAGTCTATAACTACTTCCATTCATTGTGCTACAACACCTACACAATTTGTTTCATGTTTTTTTTTTTTTTTTTGCATCTACTATCATAGATATACTCCATAGTATATAACAAGATTTACAATGATGAAATGATGATCCAATTCTGATTTCCAGCTAGAATAATATCCAAAAGCGATTGACCCTTCGGAATAGTTTGTCGTTCAAGATGGGTTTGACTGTATTATAATCCTAGCTCCCGAAGCAAGCCTGTTTGGAACACAAAGGAGTGGGGAAAGAAAATCTCAACCAAACATGAACTATGAATGAAATCTTGCATTCTTGGTACACATAAATACCCAAGTAATTGAAGTAGAAAAAAGAAGAAAAACGCATTCTTAACTTTCTTCAATTTTGATCGCGCTATCTGCCTCTCCAAGAGGCTCTGTGATTCTCTTACTTGCTCCTCTTGATGTGTTATCAGGAGTGATTCGTCCTTCGGATGATGACATTCTGGGACCCACAGAAAGCGGAGATCTCATTGATTCACTCCTTGGGTGTCTACTAAATGAAGCTGTGATTGATAAAGGGATGCACTTTGTGCCTGCTGAGCACATATCCTCTCTGTCTTCAACTGAATCGAGCTCTTTATTCGTCCTGCATCTCAACAACATCTATATGATTCAATTAAATGTTTCTATGTATGGATTCTATGCATTCTTTGGGGCTAATTCCATAAAATGAAGTAAGCTTTTCATGTAAATTGCCACAAAACAAGTTCACTATTATAAATTTAGTTACGTACAAAAAAAACCGTAGATATTTAACTACAACTCCATGGCTTCTACAAGATATATCTTGCCAAAATATAAAATTTGAATTCTAACCAAAAAAGACTATTAATACTTCGTAGTATATTACTGACCTGTCAGCATTAAAAGATGATGACCTTTTAAGAGCAGCTACTCCCTTGGGCACATTTGTCTCTATCAAGCTCCCGCTGAAATATTCCTTATCTTCTAATCTCACACCCATTAATCTTGGATTTTCCGCAAGACAATCGAGTTCACCCAAGCTTAGAGAGGTTGTTGAATATAATGGGGATGAAAATTTCGAATGAGAAAATCTGGGCTTGTACATTGGGACAATGCCAAAACTGTTATCTTTCACCGAAACAGACCCACATGAGATTAATTGCATTAACATATTCGAAGGCTTGATCTTTGTTGTGGGCACTCGAAATTCCTCATCTCCAAGAACTCTAAAGCTGTTGAGCTTACTACCAATATCAGATCTAAGGAGAGACTCCAAGGTATCAGTTCTTCCACCTGATGATACACTGGATGATGAAGGATGTGGCGAGACTGACTCTTTGCCAATCTCAGATGATTCTTTTATGTCGGTGCCCTCATTCTTTTCAGGTCCGTTTGAAATTAGGAATATGCTGGGAAAAGAAAATAGGGACGAAGAATATTAGAAAAAAATGGATAAGAATAAATGGTGGGGTGGGGGATTAACCATTGTTCAAACTAAAAAAAATTAAAATATCAGTTAAAAGTCAATTTATTTGTTTATTCATTTCAATCATATAAAGACTAGGAAATACTCGTATAAACATATACGGAGTATAACAGTTTCAAAAAACATTATTTTGATTTGATTTTCCATTGCAACTTCTGATGTAAAACCAAACACAAGAAACAAACTTTCGTTCGAATTAATCCAAACATACCCTTCAGCCTCAGAAGATCCATCATCAGTAGAAATGCCTCTCGTACAGGTCTCCCGAACACTATTGTTTCTACTTGGGTTTTCTTCTGTCTGTGTGGAAGCATCAGCCAAGCCTGAAATGTTCTTGCACTCTGTCATGCTGAAGGAACCATTCCAAGAGGAATTTTTAGACTCGGGGGACACAGCAGATGAATTGGGACGTTCAACTGTGGGAGAAAGTTCATCGTCCTGCAAAGGTTTTGATCCTCTCCCATTCATACTGGAAGATGAGGAAGAATCGTCTTGACTTCTAGCAGATGGCGGTTCAGGTAGCAGTTTTGGGTTTTGAATTTTGACAATTCTAGCTGGGCTTAAGTGCCCTGCAAGAGAAATGAGAGTAATTTTTAGATTAACAAATTCATGATCCCCAGTGACTTGGTTTAACGTAAAGATAATGCAAATCAAGATTTCATGCATTGCCAATCTCCATCAAAAGAAAAGCTACTTTCTACCACATTTGTTCCAAAATAATTGAAAATCCTCAGTGCTATGAAAATCTTCAATGTAGAAGTTATTATTGGAAAATTTGGAGGATTACTAAAAGAATATGCATCAAACTCCTAGAAAGACAACTATTTGGGATAAAAATGGCTAAAATGACTATTAGTTTCGGGATGGAGCAATGGAGGGAGTGACAACTAAATAGTGCTTTAATTAACAATGCAAGGCATATCAATTTTATTTTACCTAAACTAGAATCTTCCATGAGCTCTGAGCCCTTGAGAACATATTCATTCCCATGGGCAGGGAGTATGAGGTCATCTTCTGAAAGATCATGCCAAACGAACCCATTCTTGTAGCTCCTGCTTCCAATATTCATATCAATCAAAACCAAAATTGGCAAGAAAAAGAACAACAACAAGTCAACAAGAAAGTAGTAAGATCCCACAAGTGAGATCTGGGAAAGCATAAATAAAGTTCTTGTCTGTTTGTTTTACCTCTTGCAAGACCAAGAGTACAATGAAGCCATGCCTCTGCCCCTCAAAACATTAAGCCTCTCAATCACATCTTCACAAACATTAATAAAAAACTGAACTTTAGTGTCCCAAAATACGAAAGAATTCGAAAAAATAACTCCTACAAGAGTAAGAGAGGGGAAAAAGAAGAAAGGATACCTCTCAAATAGAGGCGGCCGTCCGGGGAAGAAGGGGAGACTTCAATGAAATGGGGATGCTCAAGCTGTCGGTTTCTACAGAGATAATACACCACAGCAATCCTGTTACTGTGATTACTATTATTATTATTACAGCTTTGCTCCTCCCTCTGCGGCTGCTGTTTCTGCCGATATTTGGGAGATTTCTCAGTCCAAACTTTGGCCCTGTCCGGACTCAAAGGCCTGTACTTTTTAATCCGCCCTTCCATTCCAAACCCGGACTCCAAGAACTGCTCAAATCACGCCCTCCACCGCTCTGATCTTCAAAGCAGAGCCCTTAAACAATCGATTCAGGCTAATTCCGAACCAGTCATCTAGAAAAGAATGGTAGATCTAGAGCAGAGTCAAAACACAATCACGGAAACTCTATTCCAATTTCTTTCCATTTCTGGGTCTGCATAAAAACGCCAACTTTGAAATTTTGCCTGAAAACTTTCATAGTATGAGCAACAAACAAAGGATTCCCGAATATGGGTTGGATTCAAAAGGGGAGAAAAAGCAGGAATTCTATAGTAATTTCATGACAGTAGGCTTTTTTTTAATATATATAGTAGCACATGACAATAATTTTTGTAGGGGTGAAAGAAATAAATATGGTGACCAGTGTCAGGCCTACAAATGGGCAACATATTCGATGTGTATTGAATCTATTGATACACAAATACCCCATACATACACTTTATAGTGCCCGTACATCTAGAAAGAGAGAGAGACAATTGGGGGTAAGATGGGAGACCCACATTCAATAAGATGCGTAGGAAGAGAAGAGTGGGGCGGCTGCGGCGGACGGAGAGGAGGAGGGGGCGGCGGAGAGAAAGAGAAGGCCGGTGAGAAGCTGAGAAGATTCTCGTTGCTATGGACCTTTTGGTTTATGTGCTCTCTATGTCTTTTCTTCTTAATTTTGAAAAGTGCGTAAAAAGAGGGCGTAGAGGGTGGTAAGGTGATTGGATTAGTTTTGACTTTGGAGTGTGATTTGTCTCCTTTCCGCACGAACTAGGACTTTAAACGGCTTCCTACATGAGAAATTACTCGAAGCATATGGATGTTAGACCATCACTCATGGGAGAAAATAGGGGAGTAAGTATATGGTATAACCGGTTGTATCAGAAGTAAGGTATAGTAAGATAATATTTATTTTAAAATAAAGTAATACTCATTTTGCATGTGGATGTTAGACCATAGTTTTAAAACCGGACCGGACTGGCAGGTTCGGACCGTGAACCGGCGGTCCACCCGGTCTGGCCCTTTGGACCGTAACACGCATAAAACCAGTGTGAACCGGTGTGAACCGGCCAGTTCGACCGGCCAAACTATTTTTTTTTTTTGCAATTTTTTCCAAAACATGCAACCATGGGGGTTTGAACCTAAGACCTCTTAAAGATTTAGTTGAATTTCTAACCATCCAAGCAAGGATGCTTTTTGTTATAAGTGCCCTAATCTTTTAGGAGTATAATATTTCATAATTAAAAAAAGATTGTATAAAAATTCCTTTTTAATTTTAAAAATATAATATTATATAGCTATGAATCAAACACAAAATCATGATACTATTGATATTATTACAAAATGAATATCATGCAAAGATTTCATTTAGCACTTTTAGTATTTAACAACTTATTTGAAAAAATAAAATCAAATCTTCAATTATAAAATTTTAAATACTCCCTCCGTCCGGGATTAATCTTCCCATTTGGACTTTTTCCCATTTTTATTAAAGGTTGAATTTGAAAGGGAAATGACTAATATACCCTTCATTTCTTACTTGTTTTACACTTTTA